TGTCTATTTTTGTATGAATTTCCTAACTATCAAAATCTCGGTCTTAAACTGGGTTAACATAGCAAAAAGAAAAGCAGCTTTACGATCAGGACCGAAACCTATAGGAACTTTCAATAACTGGGCCTTGGATCGCTGACGGCTCACACAACATCATAGTAAAAGACAAACCTGTTACATCCCCAGGCAAGTGCAGGGTAGGCGACCAATGCTACAGTGCTTGTGATGAAGAAGTTGAGGTACACGTTACCACCAACAAACGGAGAGCTGTAAGACACTCCGTAATACACCATGCCATTCACAAACCTAAAAGAAGAAAAGAGCCACAGTTTACAATAAAAGACGAAGCCAGAAAATATGACAGTGTGAAATGAAAAGGAGAGACATGGGGAGGAGTTTGGCCGTCATAAACAGATCTGCAGCAGAAGTATGTTTGTCAAGGGCAATAGGGGCATCTCACTCTTCTAAAATTCTATAACAGTCATGTCAAGGGGCGAAAAGCCACAGGCTTTTTCTGAATGTTCTTTCGATCCACATGGAGATTTTTGACGCTGAGTTGCAGTGGCAAGCCTCCTGTTCATGAGAGAAAAACTCGTATACTTTATTTGGTTAAGTGTTCATGGATTGATTGGCTTAATTGACTATTTATCCTTATATTAACTGCAAAGCGGTTTTATCTTTTATCTTTTATTTTAAAAATGTTTTATGATCAAGAATAACGGTAATCACTAACTGAATTTAAAACCTTCATGTATACTTGATGGGTACCGAGCGAATTTCCAGTGAGATTGGGTTGTTCAGTGAAACAATTAAATGTAAACAATCAAGTTTGAGTTTTTGTTCCAAATTTGCTATTCCCTTAGAGAATAATCAGATGTTAGGGCTAGGTATTGATTTAAAAAAAAAAAGCAGAGGGCATTTACCAGCAATACCAAGATATGAGTGTTTTGTGAGTCATAGCGCGCGTCTTGAACAAGTCCCGCAAGTCTCCCAGTCGCTGTTTCTCACAATCCTGTAGCGGTTCTTGAGGTATTGGTTTCTTGTTGAATTTGGCAACCTTGTAGAGGATTTGTTCTGCTTTTTCAGTTTTTCCCTTCACAAGAAACCATCTCACTGACTCTGGAGTAAGACTGAGAAAAAAAAATGAATTCGATAAATAGATTGAACTTCATTTCGTGCAAAAGTAAGCGTTTATGATGCTGGGAGTCGTAAGGAAAGAATGTTGCAGTTGTTAATTGTTGAAGGTCACGATAAGGGGAAGTATCGCTATCTACACTCATTAAAAATAATAATAAAAAAATAAATATCAACTCACAACCATCCAAGCACGAATGGAATTGCTGGAATCGCCATTATGATTGATAGCTTTCTCCAGTCCCTCACAAGATATGCCAGCCCGGCCAGTGCCATGTTGGAGAGATTGAAGGAATACCAAATGGAGCAGCCCGCAGTGCTGCGATGACGAATTCCAACGAGCTCGGTCAGAAGAACATAAGCGGCGATGCTGTACCCGCCTGATGTAGAAAAAAAAGGGCATCAATATACATACTTAACCCTTCAAAGGTGTAACTTAGGAATAGTTTGTGTACCTTGGAAGTGCTGGCGTGGTTAGCTCTTGTTTTCTATCCCTAAATTAATTTCGACTTTGGACACCGACATTTTGAGAGCAACTGAATAACCTGGAAGTACACACAAAGCCCCAGCGCACGCCTCATAACCAGCCTTTGCTCTTTTTATCACAGAAAAGTCCTTATTTTTAGTCAGGAATACCCCTCTGGTACACTTTCTCATTATTTAAGTAGATTTCTTGGTGGAAAGGGAGGTGCAATTTCGTTATTTTACATAACAGGTTTGTGGCCGGGCTATTAAGTAATATTGAACATGATGGCATCGGTAATCATTCTCATGGCACATGTGAAAACAATTTTCGGAAGGTGTAGTAGCTCTTTGGAATCTCGAGGCGCGGTCTGTGTCCAATGTCATATTTAGTTTGAGGTAGACACAATACTTGTATGGTTTCTGGGACAAACTTTTCTTTCAAGATTGCCTGCGATAGTTTCAATTTCCATTTTAAAAGATGCCAAAACACTTTTTGTAATGCAGTTTTGGGTGGTACATGACCTAGTCCTGTTTCGTCCGATGTCGTTTGCTCTCAGCATGAACCACAAGTGCTATGCTTTATCGAATGGCGTAAAAATGTTTGTAGAACTTTACATCACATACAGGTGACTGTGTTTCATCACTGACTGGAAAGACTCTTTTCATCTAAACGTTCCTTACGGTCAATTCACTGACCTATCCCGAATCCAATCAAACATCTGAGGAGTGCAAAGAGCCAAAAAGCTTCAGGAAAAGCGGCCAACAGACTCATGACTGACAAGATGAGGCCAGATAAGTACATGGTGATCTTCCTGCCAAACTTATCACTGAAAGGACCAACAACAATTCCGCCGAAAAAGAACCCAACGAAAATCATGGATGATCCTATGGTACCGTACAAACCACGCTCGCACACCAGATCAAACTATAGGCAAATAAGTCAGGCAGTAATAAGGTCTAAGGATGGCAGCAATATTAATTATAATAGTAATAACAAACTTTTATTTTAAAAAGTAAGTTATTTTTCATAATCACTTAGCTCAGTATGAAAGCTGTTGATATTACCTAATAAAGATTGAGGTATTGCTTCATGATTTGGTTTTATCAGCTGAGTTTATAATGTAAAATTGACCACCCTAAAGAGCTTCGGAAATGGATGTTTCGAGCGTTAGCCACTCGTCCTTCGCCGCTCTGATAAAGGGCTAACGCTCTGAACTTTAGCCTTGGAAACTCTCTGCGGTGGCCAATTTACATCATCAACTTAGTTGATAAACCAAATCATTATTTGATATTTCTGAATGGCAATGCCTCCTAAAAATTTATAATGAGCCACTACTTCTTTTCTCCACGGTCATGAATGCCTCTTCAAGTTACATTATGGGAAAAAAGGCCTCTTTTAATTTATGTGACCACTCATCGAACCAACGAACAGGCTCTAGTTGGCGCCTCTGAATGAGCAGTTAATCCTTTAACTTTCATAAATGACCAAGAGAGAATTTCTCCTTATAATATCAATACAGAATCAACCAGATAAGTGATGAGAATAAAGAAAAATATCAATTTGGGGATAATTAGTTGATCTAATACTAAATTCTCTGAACTAACAAAATTAAAATTGTATGGTTGACAGAAAGGAGAATTACAAATTTGATCTGGGAGTTAAAGGGTTAAAGACCTCTCAAGGGGAGTGTGAAGAAATTCCATTCTAGGATTTGAGAATACTCCCAAAGTATCTTACAAAATTAGAGGCGACGAATGGCACTTCTTTTTTCCTTGAAATTAGAAGAGCCCCCATCGACTCTAGGCGATACACGGTCCTTTCCAACAAAGATATCATATTCATCAGGACGTAGCCTGTGAGAAGGCCCTCATTATCAGCACTGTAGGACGCACGATTTGCAGCCCGCGGGAAGATTTGAGACGAGTCGGGGAGAAGTCCTCTAGGGGTATGGCGCTGATATGATCATTATTAGTGCCAGACCCCTTGCAGACCTGCTGAAGTGCTAACAATCAGGGCTTACTCAGATCAGGACGCAGAAGCATCTATTTGATTTTTTACTGATGTTACCTCTGTCACGACTGAAGTGAAATCGTCCACAAACTCCCACTGATCACGAGAAATATTACATCTGAAATTATAGTCAGGATGTCTAGAATTCATGGTGCCGTTTAGTTTACAGATGCTGCTATTTGCCACACACCTCCACGGTGGCTCAGCGGTGATGAAGACCGGAATCATCACAGGCCAACCAAACCAGAAGAAAATCAGGCCATTTAGGAATACGAGGAGAAGAATCTGATAGCGACCAAAGCTACCGATCTTTTCTAGGTATTGATCCGTTGTAAGCGCCATGACTGCGAGGAAGGGAAAATTACAATAAGCACTCTGATGTAAGAGGTCTGAGAAGAGCAGATAGTTTAATGGTTCAAAATTTATAGCAATTAAAAACATTACAACAATAACAATAACTAAAATTACTTAACTGTACCAGGGAGATCGTAATTTTGGAGCGCATACTTGGTAAGGACGTCAAATTGTAACAATGATGCTTTGTCATGCTAAAAAGGCCCTATTTTTTTTCAACCATGACTTTTTCAAAGGTCTTTCAGCAAACACTGCCTTTCACCTTTTCAGACGTCATTCCCGTCTTTGTTTCTTTTGTTTCACTCATATGAATTTGTCAGCGGTAATTATAATTACCAACAGAAGAATTATTCTGTAAACTACGAAATGTGTTGCGAGTTATAACGAACGAGACATTGAGGTTTAATTGTTTGACTGATTTTTACGTGTCTTTGAAAAAGTGTCATTCGGGATGCAGTTTCAAGAGGCTCTTGATTGTTTTAAAATGACCTTTGTTTGGATATCGTGACTTTACACCAAGTTATACAACGCGTGACGCTTTCATGAATTAACCTTTTGTGTCTGTGATGAAACAAAAGATGGTTTACATCAAAGATCAAAGGACATGCCAGTGCTCAGGGTTCGTCTCAGTGATAAAAGAAAATGACCTGACTTAATAACTGTGGTCAACTGTGCATCTATTTAAAGTATGGGATGAGCGTCTACTGTGAATAATAAGTATGTTTTTCTTTTTCATTTCCTAATCAAAATGGAGTTAAGGGATGATTTGATGTGCTGATTCATCGATCCGTGACAAGAACTGGACATGCCTTTACTTTATTTACAATCCAGTGTATTTCAAGTTACTTATTTTTAGCCGAGTCTCTGTCGCTAGTTTTCATAAGAGAATATCTTGCAATAATCTCAGTTCCATTGGATCGAAACATGCTGGAGTTACTGAATCAAAGAACACAGATATTTGCCGACAACTTAGGAATTTACAGGATGAAAAATTAACCGATTTCATTATTATTAAAACGTCGACGGTAAAATTTCCGCACAGCCCCATCCTACATTATGCATTCAGTTCTTGAACAGAGAAAACAATGACAACAACAATACATTTCCGTTGGGAAAACAGATTTGTTTTACAATAGTATGGGGCTGTGCGGAAACTTTACCCTACACTCGTCTACGGGTTTTATAGTAGCTTCAGGAAAGTCTTAAGTCTTGAATACAATCGCATTAAATTTATGGGCTGCGGTGGAATGATTTCCTGCATGATCCACAAAAACCCACTTTCATGTCGATTACAATCGTACAAAACCGGTGCTAAATGTTATTATTCATATGTGCTATGTACTACTGAGCGTTAAATTTAGTTACGAAGTCAATTTCCATATCTTAATGGTGCTTACCTCGGATATTCAAGCCCAGAGTGCGTCAAGAATTAGTTGCTCTTCCAATCTGTGCCCTTGATATGTTCTTCAGTCTCAGCCTTAGTTTATATCACTAACGGTGGTAAGTTTCTGAAGAAACTGTGGTTCTGCGTCGGTGGGAGGGAACAACAGGTAATTTGGTACTAACAAAAGAGTTGAAAATGTAAATAAGCCGCCATTAAGAGCTTCAGAGCTGAAGTTTCCAGCGTTAGCCCTTCGTCACAGCGAACAGAGGAATTGTGGGTTGTGTGTAAGTTTATATGCAGAACATGGAGCCACGCTGGTGGGACATGGTGACGAGAAAACAAGAATAAATCAATAGAATGAGAGAGATGGCAAGTATTGCGCTTGATATAGAAATACAGAAAGATATATTTCTTCTTTTCTCGAGCGTGGCCCGATGCTCTTATCCTAGCAGTGTGCAGGACGCGTGCTCAAAAAAACTCACCATCTCTCTTACTCTGTTTACAAACATGAACCTATTGACGTTGCTGATTCTAACAGTATGCAGGACGCGTGTTATATGAACTTCGTAATGGACCTCGCTCACCGTGGCTCAGTGGTAGGGCATCCGAGCACGGAATCCGAAGGTATGAGGTTCTATTCCTCATGGGGACTCAGAATTTCTTCTTTGTCCCATGCTCGTGACAAGACGAAAAACATGTTTCTCGAAAAATAAAGTAGGTGAATGAAGAGCACTCGTTGATACCGTGGGGATTAAGAATGCCAATTTGAAAGATCAATTTTTGTTCTAGCGTTTTGCGGCTTTCCAAACTACCTAGATGTAGGGGAAGGCCGCATACTGCCATATTCTGCGTCCTTGTTTTGCATCGTGAGCGAGCGCATGTGAAAGTTCCAGTTAGGTCATTAGTTTGAAATGAACTTCCGACCAAAAAGTTGCATATCTTTTTTAATGGCGTTTGAATGAAATCAGGCGACGTTGCGAAAAGATAGTACCAGTCTCTGAATTGTTTCGAAGTAATTGAAATGTGTCCTTCTGTACCGTTTGTAGCGTTTTCTGTCGATCAATTTGTTGGGCGTGGTTCAGGGTGGACAGCTTGAACGACATAAACAGGATAGTACCATTCATCGAAAAACTGGCACATTGCCTCTGATTTTTCGGAAAAAATCAGAGTCGTCACTGCATAAACAACGAAGTCTGAGAAACTAGGGAAAGGGGAATGGATGCAAAGATGAATACAACAGGTAACTATGTGAATCGGTGGCCAGGTTTGTAGTTAACACTGGCGCAAAGACCTTCGCCTTCAATTGAAATTTTGGTGTCTAGAAAAGTCAGAGAAGTGAACTCGCAGCAGACCACCATGATACATGATGCTGTGCCGGAACCAGTCGACCCCATCACCTGAAGAAAACTTGCAGTAAGCAGTCGAAACGTGGCGATCTACATCTAGTGACTTTGCCGTGAGACAACAGAATAAATTTATATTATCAAGTGAAAAGAAGTTTGTCCTGGCCAAGGAAAAAAAAGTCGCGAAAAATTTCAAGTGCCTTTAATGTATGACGTTTTGACGATAGGAGCCATAATTTTGTCTAAATTGCTGGAAATAAGTTCAGTGAGACAACTAAAGGCAGAGACGATGGGTCGACTGACTTAACTCACTGGGCCAAGACTAACTATCAATCCCCACGAGTAATGATTATAAATTGCCTTTGTTAACACACTACTCTGTTAACTCGGTTAAAAACCCCTAAGTTAATCTTCTCTTTAAGTAATGAAGCCTCACCAGCTAGGGTTAGTGAGCTCTTGCCATGAAACCGAGTTTAGCTGAAAGAACAGAACAATCTCTAAAGAACAAAGTGGTCTGATTTCAATACAGTTTTGACTTATTTTCTTGGGTCTTCGATTAGACTTTGGCAACGAGTTCCTTGTCACCAGGCTTTTCATTCTTCGGTTGGCATACTTCGTTCTGTAACAGATTTTCTACAGTTGGTTGGTTGTGAGTCTCTACTAGAGTGAGGCACACAAAAGCAGCTGCTAAAGCCAAACCAGCCATTATTCCAAATGGAAGAAACCTGTGGACGGTTAGCTGTTGAATAAAGGAGGTCGAGCTTTTAGAACAGACGACAAACATCCCCGTTTGTTAAGTTACACCTCTCTCCTTTCAAAGTTGAGATTTCCTCTCATTGTCGCCCTCGTTACCACAAGTATCAAGGGATACAGATATTGTGATTAGTTCCATAGAAGGAATACAACGAAATCCATCGTAACAGCTAAAAATTCTAAACGCATGGACTGAGATAGGTGTTAGGGGTGGATAAATTGTCGCTGGTGCCTTGCTGGTGACTCTTTGCTGTTCTTAGCAAAATGTGTTTATTCAGCTACGTATACCCTGTTTAGACATGCTGCATTGTACTTTGAGACGCTATTTGCGATTCAAGTAGTAGCAAATTAAAGGTTATGCTCAGTGGATATCACTTCCCAACTAAAGTAAGAGGACTACCTTTAGAAGATATGAGTATGCTGCACACTTACCAAAAGCGGAGCGAAGGCTGACAATAAAGCGCTTACACGTGCAGCAGCCGTTGATGTACCCATGGCAACATTTCTTTACCAGATCACCGAAAAAGTAAAAACAAGATGAGCATAGGGCACTTCAATATAAGTATAGCCTCACGTAAGTGTTGCCTTGTTACGGGGCTCTGCGCGAACACATAAGAACTTTCTACAATAATAAAGAGTAGTCAGTCAATGCGCAAATAGCGTCTGTGAAATGAAAAGAAACAGCTACTTTGTCTTCTACACTTCTAAAACCGCAAAATAAAAGAGAAATTAAATAAATTGATCGAATTCGTGTCGAAATAAAATGATGTTATAAATAAAAGGAAAAAGAGAGTTTGTTTTTCCCTATGGTGACAGAATTTGCTGCGGATCACCTTATAAAATCCTTTCAGCAGTGCTGGGCCACTTAATTACCTCAAAGTTGTCGGAAACATCTCTGCAGTGAAAATGTAGATCAGTGTGAATGCGATGGAAACAGCAAGCCTAGCAACAACCATGGACATGAAGATTTTTCCAATCAGATAACCTGGTAGCAAAATTCAAGCGTTAACTCTTATCTGAGAGAGAGTATCGTTCTTTATGCCGCTATACTCAGTTATGATACAAATGATCATCAGTAGAACTATGCAGAAGTATTGACAGATAGTCGAACCAACCCTTGCCTGGCTCTCAGTAGACTTGATTTTAGCCGTTTTCCCAATCCAGGTCTGCGATCCTCTTAAGGGAGGCACGAGCACGAGCGTCTGGCATGCGCACGGGGATCAATTTTGGTCGGCTCGCGCTGATTTCCCGCGCAAAATTTCAAAGGAAACAAAAGAAACAGCCGCTCTCTTGCAAAATATCCAAAAAACTGTAACGTTAATGGTTATCTGCTGAAGGATAGAAAGTAGGGAAAGGAAAAAGGTCGAGACTTTTCAAAAACGCAAAGTTTATCCGTATTGACAGGCATCTTGTTGATTTACGATTTGATTTTTGGCTTCATCCAATGAGTTAAATGCTTTTAAAAGGCCATTGCTCCCTAGCTTGTTAGTGAGACAGCTTGTTTCTGACAGCATAAAAGTACGCCTCTTAGCTATCACGAAGTTTGCATATGCGTAGACGTTTGACCGCTGTATTCTCCTGGCCCTTCGCAGTACGTAATCCTGTTATAAAATGGTAAAAGGTGGAATTTTTACCCCGACGTGGTTCTTACGATGCACATATCATGTCTGTGGATAAGACCCCAATTTATAATCAGAAGGAAAACTCTGAGAATATTTCAACACAAGCTATCTACATAATAAGTCTCTAAAATTTCATTTTCATTACATTTTTGTTGAATTTTGGAAAACCCATCAATTAGTAAGGTTCATTTTACCTTTGTCGTCATCATTATCTGATAAAAGAAGTGCCCCAATTGCTCCCACAGCCGACAGAATAAACGATACCACAATGATAACCTTTCGACGAAATCTAGACATAAAGATGGGAAATGAACAGCAACAGGGTAAGATAAGAATCCGATCATGATCATGATCATGTTCAAATTCGTAATAAAAACGTTAAGAGCATTTGAAAGCTAAATTAAAAAAAAAAGCATATAGTTGTCAGGTGATACAACTATCGATTAATTGACCAGTAAATATGGATTCATCCACTTAATGACTGTTTGCTGTTGATTGATAAATTGATTGAGTTACTGATTTGATGATGATGAAGAGGGTAAGTTTCTATAGAAACTAGATGCTGCGTCTTTTTGGGGTATTACAAAGTAATTTTCTTCTATCAACCGAGTTTATGATACAATTTGACCATTAAAGAGAGTTTCTCAGTGAGTCTGACGCTTCGAGCGTTAGCCCTTCGTCAAAGTGAATGAAACGCTAACACGACGGTGGCAAATTCCAAATTACATATTCAACACATTTGATAAAACTAAATTATCTGATTTAATGATGGATTGATTCAGCGATGGAATAATCATTTTGTTAAATAGCTTATTTCATTTTAGATTTTACTACCTGACCGCCAAAACAGCAGATAGAGGGTATGCGATTAAACCAGCAACAGCAGCAACGACTACATTGATGTAGACATTACCCCCAATAAACGGTGCGCTGAAA